GGGGGGGGGGGGGGGGGGGTTAAGGAAGTAAATGATTTTATTTTTCTTTGCACTTTCTGTAATCTTTGTTGGCTTGGAACTTTTTTATGTATTAATATATTGTTTGCTGAATAAATTCACAAAGTAGCTGTAAGTGAAGATGCCCAAACTATTCACCGTCCAAAGCCCATTTGTCTAGAGAGATGTTGAAAGAAAATGAGGACAGAAAAGAGTTGAGATTATCCATTCTTGTTCATCGTTCAGCTAATTCCTTAGAAAGCCCATGTCATCTGGAAGGGAATAAAAACTTAATGATCTTACAATGGCGAGAGATTTACATTTATCTGAATCATTGGAAAGAACAAAAAGGTGAGCCTCACCTAAGCAAAGATCATTCAGAAGCTGGAGGATGAGTGGCAGTCAACCAGAAAATTTTGCTCTCTTTGAGAAGACTTCTAACCTCTTTTAAGCTTGTAAATGGCAGAATGAGTCCTTTATACAAGTGAAGAGAACAGTTTCCAGCCAAATGAGTGTTAAGAAATTTTAGCAACAATATCCTTCCTGCGAAGACCATCCTTTTCTGCATGAGATCTTTAGGAGATTCTTTGCTTGAGATTGCTAATTATTTGACCTCCCAATCAAGGGAAAATTGGATTTTAGACCAACGAATGGCACCCACTTTTAAATTCACAGAGTGCAATATATCAAGCCTTGTCTTCTGATACTTTAAGAGGTCTACCTAAATGAAGATTCAAGATATGGCTAGGAAGACTCTCCACGTACTACAAAGTATAGTGCTCATCAGCGCTTTCTTTCTTTCTGTTAGTCTGGGTGTTGGGCTTTCGGAGCTGAAGTAAACTCTAACTTATATACTGGCTGATTTTTGAGTTTGTCATATTTAGAAAGACCACTTTCATAGTGGGGTAATGCAACAATGTTCCTGATTGGGATGGACTACACCTGATGACTGACAGAAGTTTTGCATCTTACAGGGAAATTATACTTTATTGTTACTGCCCTTTTTCTGTAATCACTATTAGGAAAGATGTGCAAGCTGTTCCCTTTAATATTTGCTTAACGAGAGGATCACCAATCCTTTCCTAAGATTTCCAGTTACTAAAACTTAGTTTATCATCTTGTATACTTGGCACGGATTTACTTCTGCAAATTAATTTGCCTTGAAAATGAATTATGGAATGTGATACTTTGAATCAAAACAGAAGATTTAAAAAAAATAAATACATAAATAATTTATTTTATTTTATTTTTATCTGATTGAGTACTCTCTTGGAAGTATTAAACTCATGTTGCAGTTTATTGTAAATTTTAAATAGCTCACATTCACTTATTATCTCACTATTTTACCATATGATTGATATGATAGGCCACTCGAGGCAGTAGTGCTGCAAAGTTGGGAATCTCCAAGGTATCAAAACAAGTTGCTTCATCTTTCATGAAAAGAACTCTTGCTAGGTGTAGAAGATTTGAAGATACACAAAAGAGTTGCTTCAGTGAGCCTGCACTTCGAGACATTTTAACTCGACCTTCTAACCGAATTGATGCAGATGTTATGAATGGTAATAATTCAATTGTTTCCAGTTAGTTGACTCATAAAACAAAAGCGTAATATGTCATGTTTGCTATTTTGTTTGATGTATTCTTGAACTTCGATATACTATACTTTTCCTTAAAAAAAAAGAACAGAAGAGACAAACCGAATGGTTATATTAAGGTGCTTGAGCTACACGAGGATTCATGAATTTGTTCTGGAGCCATTTAATGATTTTTCGTTGCTTCATGCAGACCTCTGCTGTAATGTCAAAAAAGTTATTTTCATCTTGTATCCTTGGTTCTTAAGATATTATCTTACCATTGCAGGTTCCTTCCCTGGTGAAGCTTATCACAGTGGTCTGCAGAATCATAAAAGTGGAAGGGGATTACTTCATTCTTCCGACCAGGATTTCACCCGAACTGGGCCTATAGTGAATAGAGGGAAAAAGAAAGAAGTGCTACTTGATGATGTTGGAAGTGCTTGCATGAGGGTTGTATCAACCGTGGGTAACAATTCATTAGCTGGAGCTAAGGGGAAGAGAAGCGAGAGAGAAAGGGACAAAGATATGTCAGCTAGATTATGTGTTAACAAAGCTGGGCGTTCATCTGCTGGGGATTTTAGGGCTGAGCGTAAAACAAAAACAAAGCCCAAGCCGAAGGCGGCTCAGCTATCTCCTGCTGGAAATAGATTTGTAGGCAAGTTGACGGACGGAACCTACTCTGACAACCCTGCAACTAGGATTTCCAATGAAGTTGCAAATGATAGCACAAAGAAGGAATTTACTGTGGTATTGCCCCTTAATAATGCTACTCAGGATTCATCAAAGGAAATTAGTGAATGTACAGATTTCACAAATCTTCAGCTACATGATTTAGATTCAATAGAATTAGGTGTGGGCAATGAACTTGGTGGGCCTCAGGATCTCGATTCTTGGTTGAACATTGACGAGGATGGATTACAAGATCATGATGCAGTGGGCCTTGAAATACCCATGGACGACCTCGCTGACTTGAATATGCTTTTATAGTGCTTGTATAGTGTACCTTTTTTCCCCCATTTACTGGGGTTTTAGAATTCTATACTTTAGTCGGGGGGGAAGTTCCATGTATAAGTTAAGCCTCTGACAGATTGGCTCTTGGTTTCATTGTCATCCAATTCTTTCACTTCTAGAGGGAGGGAGGGAGTGGGGGGTGGAGGGTGGAGGAGGTCATAATTGTTGATGTAACCAGATAACTTATTTCATATGCAATCAAAACAATTTTCTCGGAGGACTCTTGTCTTTGTTGTTCTTTTCTGCTTATTTCTTTTACAACTCATTATCATTTATTGTTCTCAGAAACTAATCTTTGGTTTCTCCTGCTGCATGTCTATGCAGAATGAGGTCAGCGATGGCGTTTCAGCACTTACCCTTTTACTTTTTATATATTAGCTAGTGATTGCTCTTACTTCGTTGGATTGTTAGCTCTGCATCATGTTTGATTCTTAGATCCTCATTCTAGGAGATCAGCACTTTGCAAGGGCTGTTCTCTAGTAGAGTTTAATGCAATTGATAATACACTTGTGTTGAAGATATGAAAGCGTGGAGGTTGCTCTTACTGTTATTATTTATTGCCAATTCTAGGACTAAATTTCCTGGAAAGTCAATACTTAGTTGTAATTTCCTTTGGTAAGTCAGGGTGGGTTCCTCTCTTTTTTTTTTTTTTTTTTTTTTTTTTTTTTTTTTTTTTTTTTTTTTTTTTTTTTTTTTTTTTTTTTTTTTTTTTTTTTTTTTTTTTTTTTTTTTTTTTTTTTTTTTTTTTTTTTTTTTTTTTTTTTTTTTTTTTTTTTCTCTTCTTATTGTTCTTTTGGCTTATTTATGAATTAGTGTAAATGAAATATAACTTCCATTGAAGTCAGGGAGCTCTTGGTAGTCGAAAAAGAAATGCTTACTGCATTACTGTCCGAAAGTTGATTTTCTTCGGATATTTGAGTTAAATTGAAGGAACTTCAGGATATCGTCTATTTTGATTGCCAGTTGATAGGTGAAGATGCTTGGCGTTTTGCTCGACAGCTTGTCATAGTGCAAAGCCTCTTCATACTTGTGGTAACATGTGAATTGTTTTGTTGTTGCAATGCACTGTGTAGACGTAGATGTACGAAATGGTTCTTTTTACACTTAATTCGTATCATTAATTACTTTTGTCTGCATTTTCCTCTATACCGAGTCCTGATTTTCTGTTAATATCCTTATTGTTTCTGAGGCAAGCATTCTCTCTTGCATGGATTGATGGAAAAAGCTCAAAACATCATCTCAGTCATAGCTGGAAGGACAAATGTTCAAGATCATATGGCCCTACTCACTGTAATGATTTTCTATCCTGGTACCGTTGTTCATATGGCTCCATTTCATTTCTTCATTTTCTCATAAAAATGCTTCACCCCTAGGTCGACGATAAAATCGTTTGTTGGTTGCATCTGTCTTAGCTTCATTGTAAAGTTTTTTTTTTTTTAAAGATCCAGTTTTTAGTTGTCTTGTGGAGTACATGAGACTTGAGAAGTATGATCCCTGGTGATCTTTTCACAATTTCAATGTTTTATTTTGGTTTCTGCTGCTAAGTATTTTCTCAACGTTCTGATTTCTTCATCCTTATTAACTTTTAAGGTTAAGATATAGGGGTTTCTTCTTTCTTTGGTGCATTACGGCTAGGGCATGCAAGTCATTCTTAATAACAACTACATTCTGAATGAAGAGATGAACATAATAGTCTTTTGCATGATTTTGTCCTTCTCTTCCGTTCTTCTAAGTTCATGATGTGCCTTCAAATTTTGTGGTGCTGCTAGATCCATTTTGTTCTCTCATGATGATTTTTGTTTGTTGTTAGTCTGATGCTTGTTTTTGGACGAACTGGTTCATAGACATGTCTATTTCATCGTGCTTTTTTAGTGCCCAAATTGTGGAGGGTATAGTTCTTGTTGATGGGTCGTTTCTTTGGCTATATCCATTTCGTTAACTGATATGTATAGATTATTGAATAATTTGGAAACATGGGGTTACATTTGGACTGGTGCACCCTATTTGTTGTTTTCCTTTATTGCCTTGTTTTGTTCATCTGTTCTCTAGTTTAGGTGACTTTGTTTATATTTCATTTTCTGCTTTCTTTCCTATCTGGTAAATTGAATGGTGAACAGAACAACCTTATTTCAATTATCATTTAGCCTTATAATTCTTTGTTACAGTTTCACGATTTTTAAATTTTCCCGACGACTTTCGGTTACATATTGCTTAGATTTGGTATGAACTTTTATTTATAATAGGTTCATTTCAACCAATAATTTGATTTGCGATATTCGATTCGAAATGAGGCATTTATGCGTCGAACAAATCATATTCTTGCTGTTTGCTGCATTTCTAACCTGCCATATCTGTGCTACTAGCTATACAGGCATTCATTGAGACGGGTAAAGGATAGTTTCTGTGAGATCCCACGTCGGTTGGGGATGACGAAGCATTCTTTATAAGGGTGTGGAAACCTCTCCCTAGCAAATGCATTTTAAAAACCTTGAGTGGAAGTTCGAAAAAGAAAGCCCAAAGAGGATAATATCTACAAGCGGTGAGTTTGAGCTGTTACATTTCGTTCTTTGAAGGACAAAGCTTCATGGGGACGGAGTGGTCAAAGCTTTACAAGGTCAAGGTCCAGCAAGACGAAGATTCAGATCCCAGAAATCGGTGCCAGAGCGTCTGGCGAGCGAGTGGTCCATGGCCAATAGTGCCCTAGTTGATGGCATTCCTCTCCGCGGCTATCATGGGAGAAACACTTGTTGATACGCAAATGGCCGAACAAAGAAACAAGCAGCTGTAGCAGGAAATATTTGTTATTGGTGAGAAATGCCTTCCTATAATGGTTTTATTTCACTAAGTTAATGGTTACGTGTTGAACTTCGAACCTCAAAAAATTGTAATAGCTATCTTATTTATTAAGCTAAGCTATGTTTAGAACGTTGATATTTTAGCTTATGAAACTTCATATAGCATGAAAATTCAAATATTTGTTAGAATTTTAAAATGAAGTTGTAACAATTCAAAGTTCACTACTAGCAGATATTGTCTTGGGCTTTCCCTTCTGAACTTCTCTTTTCAGACGCGTCCACTAAAAAGAAGTTTTCACATTCTTGTAACGAATTAATTTAAGATTACCTTTTTTAGTTTAACACGTGAAATAATTATTAAAGTGAATTAAAGTGGGCCTTAATATTAACGTGATTTAAGATTATTTTTATTTTTTTGAGGTCATTTTATTAATATTAATTTGTCATGATTTAAAGTTACTTTTTTTTGAGTAAAAGGTTTGTCGGACTATTTTAGAAGTAATTCACATTAAATAGCTGATATAAATATTCAAGTTGAAATATATTATTTTAACATTATAAAGGATTAAATTATTTCTAAAATATAAATTTTTTTGGAACAAAACAAATTTTATGAGGTGTTTTTTTTTTTTAAATAAATAATTTAGCTATTACAATTATTAAATGAGCATTAATATATTTTAGAAAATTACAGTTTAAAATTTTTTAAAGTGTCCTCTTTTATATTTTCAATTTTTTATTTAATAAATCTTTAATAAATTTAAATTTTTAAAAAATTAATTAATTTATGTTTAAATTTGAAAGTTTAAAGAAAATATTAAATGTAAATAAAAATAGGTTACTACGAAATTCATTGGCTCCTTTAGTACGTTACGGCAGAAATTTCCCCCTTTATAAATATCTTGAAATTTACAAAGAAAACAAGAAAAACAATTCTTCTCTCCAATTAGCTTTCTGTTCAGCGAGGATTGGAGGACAATTCTCGCTGATGCTTCATCCAGTCCTCCTCGGTCTCCAAGATTCTTAAGAAATCGCACTACACACTTCGAAGCTGTAAGAATCCTTTTGATTTCCCGTTCTGATCTTCATCTGAGTTTGAATTTTCCAAAATTTTAAGCCTCCAAGATGATGAAACCAGGATTATCATTATTGATTGGGTTGAAGGCAGCAGCTCTGTTCTCTCAATTCCTGTTCCTTAGATTCTATGGCTTCAGATTGTTATCGATTCCTTTCTTGTACGCTTCTTTAGTTTCTCTCTTGGTTTCAATCGCTTCTCTTCCATCTATCAATCTTCCCCTGCTGTTGGGGAAGAAATCGGATGGGACTTTTCCTGTTTGGTCGATCGTGATTTTTGGTCCCTTTTTGTTTTTCGTTCGATTTCTTCCTTCGTTGCGTGGATTGTACCTTAAGGATGATCCTTACTCTGAAATTTGTGAGGGTGTTTATGTTGGGGGGTGGCCTTGTTCACCTGATCGATTGCCTCCTGGTACTCCTGCCGTTGTTGATTGTACTTGTGAACTGCCGAGGTGTTTGGAAGTCTCTGGGACTGGTTACTTGTGTGTTCCAACTTGGGATACACGGTCTCCTCAGCCGGAAGAAATTGAAATAGCTGTTCGGTGGATCTGTAAAAAGAGAGAGCTAAAGAAGCCAGTGTTTATTCATTGTGCTTATGGTAAGTTCACTAGCCCTAATGATTTAATGAGGCATTATGATTTTCTAGTGCATTGAAGTTGATTAATTGACGTCTGTTGTTTATATAAGTTTAGTTTAAGAGTTAGAAGTTTTCCCTGGATCTGTATGGATGATTATGCTTCTATGATGATTTTTGTTTGGTGTTATTGTTCGATGCTTGTTTTTAGAAGAACTGGTTCATAGACGTGTATACTCCATTGAGCCTCTTTCTAGTTGTAGAGGATGAGGGGAGTTGTACCACCATTTCCCGCTTGAATAAGGTTGTCTCCCATCCTCGGGCACTAAGGGGCCCTGTCTCTGACATTGTTCTTAAACGATGCTCCCTTCAGTGCGAGCTTCAACTCGGAGGAATAGGAATGGAAGAACTGATTCCATGGATTACTTCTCACTTGATTCTTAGTGCTTGAATGATAGTGCCTAGGTTGTCTATTTAATGTCCTACAATCTTTTCAATGAGAAGCCATAAAAGACTAAGCATAAAAAAGAACTAAAACACACAAAATTGGGATCCAAACTAAAGAAATAGACTCCAATCAAGTAACATAAGATCTAAACGATAATCCTAGAAAACGCTATCGCTGAAATCCGAAGACAAACATAGAACCTTATGTATGATCAAACATCACTCGGGTTCATATCAACACCTCCTACAGTCTTGGATTCTCAAATTTTTTCTGGGATTTGCACACTACTAGGTGCTTGGTTCCTGGGCTAGGTTGTAATACTATGA